TCGTTTGAATTAATTTGAGAACGCTCAGGTCGATTAAAAAGATGCATTCCTCCGGCTGCGCGTGATGTCATATTCATTGATCCGTAGAGGTTACTTTATGCAGTCGTGTAGGATACGTTTATGCTTCTGAAAGCTGGCCGTTTGGAATTCATTAGCTATTGATCCCTGTTAGCGATGGTAAACGCAGGGTCTGATAGCAGCCTTGTCTGAAGCCAGGTAATCAATTCAGTGCCATTCAGAAAACAAATGCCCTTTTACTTTATTATTGTTCTGCATCAACATTTGATACTGCAGCAAAAAAAAACCCCCAAAAAAACCCACTCATATCTCTGTCACAGAGTAACTTTGAATTTACTGTTTATTTGTCGAGCTTTTCTTCTGCCTTTGCGTTCTTTTCCCCTCTTGAGTTTGTACGAGGTTCGGTTGTCTCTGCACAGCCTCTTCCTCTCTCCTCTGCTCTCACTGACTGATTCTTGTCCTCCATCCATGCCTCCTTGCGCACTGATTGGCTGCCTGTTAGTCAGTTGCAGCCAATAAGCCATTTTGAAAATCTCAGTGTTTAGTCTGGTGCTAGGCAGTAGGATCAACAGACAGGTGGGTCGGGCAAAGTCATTGCCGTGGCTGGCTGCACAGAAAAGCTGCGTTAGCTTTTAAAGCAACATTACCCTAAGTTAATAGTAACACGGCAGTATTTCTGTAATCCCAAACAGGTTAGCCCATGTTTGTGAGCAACTGCTATGTTAAGCCCCAATGCTCAGACGCATGTGCTCGACTCTTTCTTTTGGCTTTTCTGCCTAATTAAGCTGAATTTCTTATTGCTCCTTACACATACATGTGTTTGCCTGTGTCGTAGCAGCAGTAGCAGGTTTCACACGCCTGACCGTGTTGCTTTTAATTCACTTGTTCATATCAGCTAATTGGCTTTTTTTTAAGTCATCTTATTCCTTTGTCAGTCCTTGTAGCTGAACGCTGAGAAAGAGGCGCCAGAGCAGGGCACAGTAAGATGAGGCCTCTCTACAGGGGAAACAGAGAAAAAGTAAATCCTGTGTACTGCCTCAACTCTGTTCGCTTTCTTTGCCAGTAATAGTGTGCAGGGTGTTTTCCCAGTATACTAAAACACTCAGCAAACAGAGCTATCCAAAAATATTCCATGCACGATGTTAGATTTCAATATTTGGGCTTTGTATTGGGTTCTTGTCCTTGGCAAGATCAAGTCTCATACTCTGACACAATGAAGTGGCTGGATGGGTACGTTTCATTAATGCGAACTGCACAAACTCTGTCTGGATTAACCTGTTGACTGTTTTTCTGTCACGGCTTGAGGCAACATTAAATTAATGGAGATAAGAGCTTTGAGCCAAAAATAACCCCCTGTCTCTGGTGTGCCTGCAGAGAATAAAGTAGCACAAATTATCTTCCTGCTTAGTTTTGGCTGCCAGTATGCAAAGTTTTGGTAAAGATAACAAAATGTATAGTGTTTTATACACTTTGAAAATGCCAGGTTTCTAAATGAATAGCTGCTTAACACAGCTTTTACATTTTCAGGCTTATAAAGATGTAATGCTTATTTTTTCCTTCACAAAAGGATGTCTCAGGTGGAGTCTGGTTTGGTCGTCATAACCACTGATATAGTGTTTGTGTACCTACACAGATGTATGTTGCCTTCACAGTATAACGGGGTTCCCATCAGTGTATAACAGGACATTCGATAAAAACAAACACTAGCTTTTCTCAGCCTTCCTTATATCCTCGCACATGTAAATCATGTCGTTTCCTCCCCCGCTGACTTTATTGCATTGTCGATGACAGTGTTGATTTTTTCCACCCCTGTCTGGTTCATAATGGTACGTTCCATACCCAAGGGAAGTCCTTCAAACCCCCACCCCTCTGGTTCTCATTTGAACTTTGACCCTGGCCTTCTGCCTTTCAGGACATGAACTGACCCCCTCATTGGGGGAATGTTTTGGCTGAGCGTGGCTGACGTATCAGATGAGGCGCTCAGGTGGCCGCATGGCCATTTTCTTCTACATCGCAGAGCTAGCTGTCTCGTAGCTATGCAGACCTGTGCAAAGTATGTATTTGCACTTATTTTTCCCTTTCCACAACATAGTATGTGTGAGAGAGTTGTGAAATGGATATTGTGTGGTGGTTAATAAAGATGACCTAATTATGGGGAAAGATGAAAACGGCACACAGCAGTTTCTCCAAGAAGAACATTAGGATGCCGCCTTTTCCTATCAGTAAATAGCACCGTCAGATCTAAGTGAACAGTCTGAATTGTCGACAGAGAAGTGTCGATGTTTGTGTGCTTGTTTTGCACCAGCGAGGTGTTGACTGCACACGATTTAATAAATGTAACCACATTAGATTCTGATGATAGCGTTGCACAAGTTAGACAACAGGTGTAGCACGCTGCTGTCCTTCTTCTTTCTGTTTCCAGGGATTTAATCAAGTGAAGGTGAGTTGTTTGCTACAGGCTGCTCTTGATGACAAATAATGGGGGGAAACACACATTAATCTTCAGCTCAGAACAGACTGCTTAGTGGCATTACAATCCCATTACGCCGGCATCTTTGATGTTGATCTATCGGTTGGAGCCTGATCGAAGTGTTTGCTCAACGTTTATTCTGTACCGTCGTGTCAGTGCGGTGTTTCTGACTTGGTCTCATTTGTCACGAGAATATGAAATGGGTAACATTAAAAAACAGATCATTTCTTCTTTTGTGTTTTTATTTGCATGCATCTGCAAATGTTTTGTGCCTCTCCTCCACCTGTGTTCTTATCACGCTGTCTTCTCTAAATTTGATTCTGTTTTTCTTCTTTATTTTAATGCCAGTTTAAAATTGTCCTTTCTTGCAGCAGGTCTACAGTTATAACTTCAAACGATGTCCTAATCCACTATGAAAATGAGCATCATATAATTTAAATAAAGGCTAAGATATGCACAGAAATATTTTATATGTTGCCGCTGCATCTTACTGTCTTATCCATCCATACTGGTGAACTTTTCTTTGAATGAGTGCTACACTGTGGAAATGAAGGTTTTAGATTATGTGCAAAATGTGAAGTATTTCTCCACATTTTGTGTTAAATTAAAGTAACGCGGTGATTGAAAATACAGAGGTCGGGAGTCATTGCTACACTGATCGTTTCCTTGAAGTCAGAGCTGAGCAAGTAAGGCAGATGCTCAACAGTCTGGCGTTAAGCTGAGTGAGGAGGCCGGCGTGTGAGATGCTCTCAGCACAGAACTGTAGTGTGGTCTCTGGCGGATACCTTTCTCTTTAGTGAGTCACAGGTCTATGACATATGCTTGTGTTACGGTAACAAACCACCTGACTGTGCTTGGCTACTTTTCTGGCTAAACTGCAGAAGTGTGCGGCACAGGAAAACACGCTGCTGATGATGCATGAGCGATTGATACACTATATCCCAGCGTGTAAGACAGAGCTCGTCTCGTCTGCTTCAAAAAAAAATCATTGCAGAAGTTTGCAGAAGATTCCTTATACTACCGAGTGTCCTTTTTTATGTTTTTTAATACTTTCCAGCAAAGCCACATAAAGTGTTTTATTTGATGTGTGACGAATTTGATCCAGTGTTTGTGTTTACTGAAAGAGCTCACATGATTTTGATGAATAGCGTTTTAAAACAGAAGCATGTGAACTTTATTTCAATCAGGAGGTGCAGTGTGAGCGTGTCGTCAGTTTGTCATGTATCTAGACGATTTTATTTACTTTGTCAAGAAAAACGAAAAATCTGGCATCAGCACTGAAATCTTAAGCAACCAGCACGCCCATGGAGTTGACTTTGGAAGGCGATAAGCATTCCTGCTCCACTCCATATTAGCCCGCAGTGCTCGTGTGTTGGGCAGCCTGCCAGGTAGAGGTTGCTATGGCTTCTAACACCGCCCTTTACACTGCCTAACCCCCCCCCACCCCCTCCCAGAAGGTGCGAGATTTTGGGAGGGGGCAGGCCACGCTTTGATTTAGACAAAAGATGTCTTTACAGTGTCAGCAGAATACTAACTGGGAATGCTGTGGCTTTCTGGTAGGAAATCATGTGATCTTTCCAGCCAAGGTTTTGTGATGGTGCCAGGCGAGGCAGAGGGAGAGAGAGACTCACACACGGAGGGAGAAAAGGGGAAAACTTTGAATAATGATGCCAGCAAATCATTTTTATACAATTTTTTTCTCTTCTACTTTGTTTCGGAGAAAATGGCGGACAGCACATCGCTGAACTGAAGCCGTGATTTCAGTGGGCTCAGTTTAGAAGTGTGCCTCGGTCTTTTCATCATTCCTCCATTTAGCAAAGTAATAAACCAATGGTCCTAGCACCCACTGCGCATAGCTCACACCCAAGTAGAAAGTGTGGATACAGAAAGATAGAAACATAAAGTCTGACAGAATAGTAGAGACGTAGGTAAGTGGCATTTTCTGTTCTCTTATTCCAGGTTTTCCTTTGTCGCACTGCGGCCGTAGGAATATTCTGTTGTTTGTGGCTCTGTGGCACTGGCACAGTTAATGGTAGCTGACCGTGGCATGCTTGATTACACTGGCATCCCTCTCAGGCTCTGCTCTCTGCTCTCTGCTATCTGCGGTCTTGACTAAGTTGAGCTAAGCTCTCACCACAGCCACATTGCTGTTGGCCAGGAGGAGGACCGCTCTGGCAATTCTGTGGGCTAGTTTGGGATACAAGTCCACAGCAGATTGTTATTATTATGGATTTAATTTTGTAGCTGGGAACTGCAGAGACATATGACACTCCCAAACTGAGGCACAGAAACTTACCGATATACACACATTTGTGTTTGTGTTTTTCTTCTTTCCTGTGTGGATGTGATGTTGTCAGAACAGTTACTGACATGTAACTGTGAACCTTTTTTTTTCTTTTCTCACAACGATAAGAGTCATTGTTAAAAGTGAATCGTAGCATTAAGCTGCAGGTCCTGGCAGATGCAAAGCATTGTGTGGTATTTAAAAGCAATTCTCTTTTCCTGTTTTTAGAAAAATAAATGGCCACCCTAGAGAACCCACTGGCCCAGCGACCCATCCTCAGAGCAAGATGCAGCCACGATGGGTAAGTTACCACAGTGCTGTCACCATCTGTTTGATGAACTTTGATCGTGTGGGGCGAATGTCTTGCTGCTAGCTGCGGTGTATTCACTGGCACTGCTGTGATCTGCATGAACGCCAGTGTTCAGCACACGCGTCCTGCTTTTTTACACCTGTGTTGCTATAGCTGCGAGACAGTATTAGTCCTTTATTGAATTATTTTGCTACTTTGGCCATAACCATTTGGCACAAACCCGTAGATCCGATCTTGTGGCGAATCTGACAGCACAAGCTCGCCTCTGTGGGTCTTTGTCATTGTGGTGCGATCGTCGTGCTTGAACCTTTTTTTTTCTTTAATAATTTAGGTTTTAAACTGCTCCATATATTAATATTCAATCTTTCTCCAAGCGTAAACCTGAAATGTGGTGATAGTGATGAGACACAGTTTGGCTTGAGGATGACTTTATTCAGTACATAGACGAGAGGAACCCTAGTTGAAAATGTGTGCATCCGGGTTGAGGTAGTAGGTTGTATGGTTTAGAATTACACCCTGGGAGTTAACTGTACAACCTTCTAGCTTTCCTTGGAGTACACGTATGACATCAGTTTGCAGTTTGCTGAACATGCAGCACCTCTAAAGTGATGCTGATCTTTAGAATAATGTAACTCTGGCTCACATGTGGTTTTTGTTTCATGGTGGGCCTGCCAGCTCACTATGGCCCTGCTAGAGTTCTAGTTAGAACACATTGTACTTAGACTTACTGCTTTTCTTCTTTCTTCAGATGTTAGGAGTTGCTCCAGTTATAAACAGTTGTGAAATTCAGTACGAGTTAAACAGGGTGCTAAAATATAAAAATATGCCATATTGTCTTATTTTGAAGTGCTTTCTACTCGTTGAGGTGTAATTGCGTGGTGGAACCTATTTCACACGGTGATGGCCTCGTGTTTCAAACCGCCGCTTCATCTTTGCGGCCTAGTATTACACGTCGGCCTTTTTATTCAACACGGCTGTGGCGTCTTTCTAATGTGTGCTGCGTGCCAAATATTATGATACACAGAGGGTTCGCTGTAAACACAAAGTATAAAATATAATAATCAGACTTGTTATATTTAGCAGATGCTCTGTGATTGCCATTTGCACACATATTTTGCACAGCTGACTCAGGTTAGGTCTAATTGACACACCTAACACTTCCTAAAACTGTCTACCCAACACAGCCCCACTCTATTATTGCAGTTGGATGTTTATAGGTTGTTGCCAAGTCTTGTGATACATTGTCCACAGTTCCATACTATGTGCATTTGTGATATGAGGTCCAGTTTCAGGTTGAAGCTTGCCTCAGCGACACTAGAGTCTCTGTTTACTGTGGACTTGTCCACTGACTGACTGCGTCAGACTACATCTGTGTCTGGCATTCAGCCACAGCTTGTAAAATGACTCCAAAGCACCACACAAGAGAAAAACGGCCTGGCAGATCAGCTTGAGATTGTTACTCTTCAGGACGGTTTGATGTAAGCAAGCTGCCTGCTCGAGCTGGAGCTTTGTTGTAAATTCTGCTGTAGTTTTTCATCATTGTGATAGGGTTTTTTTTTATTGATGACACAGATGTTACAATGTTTGGGGCTGAAGCTGAGCAGGCTGCCCTTCTGCAGCCTTTGTCATTTATCCAACGAGCTTGTATCTTTTTCATTGTTTGATGCTCAGAGTTTCCATTGAATTGCGCTCACGCTTAGCCAGATATGCTGTTCCACTCTGAAATATTTGATGTTAAGATGTTGAAGAATTTCTTTGGCTGAAGGGTTGTCTGCAAAGTTAGCCTGCTTTTCCAGTGTGAACAGTTGTGGAAAACCCCTTACCTGTTTCCTATCAGTGCAGCTATTGAATGGAATTAATTGGCTATTTTTAGATCATCAGTAATTAAATCTGGAGGGAAACTAACACCGTTGAAATCCAGCGAACCTTGTCAGCATCACATGGCCGGTAGAGTCACTGTCATCAAACAGGTTTCTGTGTGGGAATATGATCCTGGTAAATCCCTGGAAACCAAAGAAGGCCTTTTATCTTCCATTTTGTAATCCCACTGTCAGGAAGATCACGCCTCCTTATTCAGCTACACACCACCGGGTTTCACATTGCTGCTGCTGCTGCTGCTGCTGCTGTTCTGACCCACTCACAGGAAGAAGAGTCAGAAGAAGTGTTGAAAAGTGGACAGTGTGCTGAGGAACACAGAGGGGATCTCATGCCAGTCAGCTTGGAATGAAGAGTTAGTTCAGGCAGCACCAAATGTAGCTTCTTTATTTAATCACAAATGCAAAGTTTGTTTCCTTCGTCTTTAGCTCTTACAAATTTAACAGAGTATGCAGAATCAAGATGTGCCTCACTAGTGTTTATTTCAAGAGCTGCGATTTTCTCATCTTTCCTCACCTCTGAACCTCAGTCGTTCCTCCAGATGTGTCGAGGAAAGCGTTGCTGCTGAGAATCATGCTGCCTCAGCACTCTTCTGTCCAGCTGGTCATTGGTTCCAGCTGGGCCTTCATTTATGGGATGGTTAAACAAATAAATTATGGGATTAGATAGGGCTGGTTTAGGTCGCTGATTTATTTATTTTTTTCTGCCCCCACTGCTATAACAGCCCCTTTGAGAAGTACGCTGGCAAGGAACTTCAAGGTTCTTCAGATGACTTTAAGAATTAATAAAATAAAGATTGCCTTGATTGAATTTGGTGTGCTGCAGTCCAAATGATGTACAGCAGGAAGAGCTGGCAGCACTGCGCAGACAGCCAATCATGGAGCATCACATTTGCTCTACATTTCATCAGTGAAGGCAGCCAGAAACCTAAAGAGTGCGTGTATTAGACCAGCAATAAGGAAAGTTGCTGAAACCTAGAATAATAATTCATTTTGGATGATTTTTCTTCTTCTTTGGCCAGTTTATAGATGTTTCCTGTTGCATGTGTTCAGCTAAATGCTAGCAAATGCTGCTGCTCTTTAAAGCTCCATATGAAGATAAATCTCACTGAGCTCAAAACAAAAATAAACAGTCCCTAAAGTGAATTTATGTTACCGCCTGTGGAGTGGATGCAGTGTTTACATTGTGATCAGATTGCAGATTGTCCTGCATTTTTGTTTCGATGTCAGAGAAACTGTATATTCAAAGCAAGAGACCCATCACACGAGGCTAATACACTTTGTGATACTCAAAGTTCTGTGAGCCGTTTAGTTGTATTGCAGACAGTGACACTCAGGCACAAAACACTGGAAAATCAGCCAACTGCTGCTTACATCTGTAATCTCTCTGAGAGCAGAGATTGGCTTCTTGCTTTTGACGTCACCAATGGGTGGAAACCTTGGTAACAAATCGTCTGAGACCAGAACGCTGTCGGTTCTGGCCAGAACGCTACTCTAGCTCCCCAACTCATAAAATCTCACTTCCCTATAAAAATGAGCAGCCTCGAGCACCATTTCTTCCCAAGGAAACATATTCCCTTAATGCATTCGGGTTAATGGCAAATGAATAATCATAACTACTTTCACCCGCCCCCCAAACACACACAGACACACACACAGACACATGGGGGTGGGGTGTCATCGATCTGTCTGGAGTGCGCCCCTCTCTGCCTGCTGCATCAGCCGCTCTCCCCCTATTGATACGCTCTTGCCCCTTGACCCCTGGGACAGATCGATGCAATTGATTGGAGAAGGGCAGGGACAAGGGCAAGATCTGCTGACTGGCCGACAGCAGTGTGACAAGACATGATCGTCATTAATGTCCCGCTGGCTGGCTGGCTGGCTGGCGAGGTGCTGTGCATCACATATTCCCCACCGCCCGCTCTCCTCCCCTTCCAGCCTCCATCTTTCTCCTTCACTCTTCTCTTTCCCTCCTCCTACTTGTGCTGCTCCATGGTCCCAGTCTGTGCTGCTTCAGCTGACTGAGATAACTCCATCAGTGGGATACCTGTCTAATGCTCGCCTGGCATCTGCCAGCACAGATATGCATCTCCAGGCTGCATGGAGATATTCTGAGCTGAGTGTAGAAACATGAACAGTGTCATTGCGAGTGTCTGCTGCATAATGTCTTTGGGCTCATTGTGCGAGCTACTTACCAATCACAATGGAGCCGATCCTATTTTTGGTTGCTTTGAAAAGCTGTGTCTTGATGCAATTCAAAGCAAGTGTATCAGAATCTGCTTCATCTCTGTCAAAACAACTTTATGCATCCTCTGATTGGAGGTGAATCCCATCCTAGTATTATACATGCGCATGCCCTGATTCTGAATCTGAGAATATGTCACTGATACACAGCAGAAACTCAAACGCATCTGTTTTTTCACTGTGTTTACTCTCATGGACCAGTTTCATCACGCTGCGGGATTCTATTTTCCAGTCTAGACTAGAAACAGGCGATGTTTGCGTGTATTGTGGAGGGGTGATGGGCAGGATAACTCCAGACTCGGCAGTGACACTGCTGTAATGGAGCTGATTGATCACCTATATGGCCGCCTGCTGGCCCCACTGGCTGTAGCATACAACAAAATCCCCCCCGCCCCGTCTCTGCGTCACCGCCACCATCGCCGAGCCGATCCACAAGGACCAACCATCCCCCATAGACTTCATCCTGGCCACGATTTTGACATTGGCAGCAGGATTTACTTGTGCACCTCTTCGGCGCTTAGCTCGCCGTGTTTCTGTGTGTTTCTGCAGGACGGAAAGGTACAGACGAATTTGACATCTTTGATGAAGTGACATTTGCTGTGAGAGCCTTTTTCCTGCACTGCAGCAGAGTTGGGAAGCTGATGCTTTCCATTTGAATTAAAGGGCATAATCAATCAATGATAACATTTGCAGACCTCTCTCTCTCTTTCTCTGGCCCCTCTTTGTGGCACAGGGTCGTAACCCTAATCTATCCACGGTGTTGAAGGTGATTAAGGTTTGAGATTAGCGCAAGCTGTCGAGGGCAGATCTGGTTCGGGCTGAATGAGAATGAGTAAAATGTCATATTTTTAAAATGTACTCTCTACGGGTTTA